TGAAGTCTGCCCCTGGCCGGCCTGGTTCCTGGTCGGAGCCCCGGGTGCGGCCTAGTGGATTGGCATCTTGCCTACACTCTTCCTGGGGGTTCCTGGGGCCAAACCGTGTATGTTACCGACGCTGTGCTGACCGACTCAGGCTGCCTGACGTGTGTTGACCAACTAACCATCTACTGTGCCGACCGATTGTGCTGTTCAATTTACTGTGTTGACCATTTGTGTTGTCCATCCCCTACCATCGGGCTGACCGGCTGTGGCCGACGACCACCACCGCGGACATTAATTCTATCCTCGGAAGGACCAATATCAACCACCCTCTGATCCTTTTTCTGTCGTCCATTGTCCTGTAATTGTATGCTTTAATATCCTTACCAACATATTGAATGGTGCTGCTAATCTGCATAATTCCAGCACTTTAATCTACCAGCACTTTAATTTACTATCTTGTACTGTATTGGTCCATTATCCTGCTCAGCTTTAGCACTTTAACCCAGTGTTCTAGTCTTCTAGCACTTGAATCAGTAGTTCCTCCATGACGCACCTTATTTTAGCACTTTAGAATCAACTTGATAACTTATTGCACTTTAATAACACTTTTACCATCTGTGAGGTTGATACAACTACCTGTTTGCACTTTAAGAACTTTGGGTAATTCTATTGAACATCTACCATCCATGCTGCTTCCGATTCCCTGGTACTTGTTAACCCTTCTGCTAATTGACTGTAGCAGAGATAAGGAGTGGAGTGAACTAGAGACTTCTGGAAATAGCAGAGTTAGGGTAAGAAATGAATGGAAGGGAAAATTATGGCGAATTGAACCTGTAACAAATCAAATAACCAGCAGTGAAGCATGGGTTGAAGCTATTTTTTATTTACTCTATTTGTATACCGCATATATCAGCCTGAGGCGGCTATGGATGTTGATTGCGTCATGGAGGAGGGAGGGTGTTCCGTCGGCCGGGGAGCTCCCATAGAAGTCGTGGTGGGGATGGGGAGATACGGGAAAAGGAGACCTCGAATTCGGCCTAGGGATCGTGCAACAACATTAGTAATTCCAAATCGGTCTCCTGATACGGTAAATTGGTGTAACCAGGATGGCGGTCCCTCCGGATTGAAGGTGGTGCTGTTGAACGCCAGATCTGTCAATGGCAAAACAGCTTTCATCCAGGATTTATTACTATTATTATTACATTTACAGTATTTTACCCTATTACTACTACATTTATTATTTTACTCTATTATTACTGTTTTTATTGCATTTTCATTATTTTATTATTTTAATTATTTTAATAACAAGTACATTTACATTGAAGGAGGTTAGAATAATGGTTTAATAAGAATTGGACAGTCTTATCTTAAATTACAGTTTTATGTAAATATTCAGAAACATTTAGGCTACTGATGCCTAAATTAATGTAATTTTATTGGTATCTATTTTTATTTTGAAATTGACCCATAGTGGATGCATTTCCCATCTTCGGCTTATACTCGAGTCAATACGTTTTCCCAGTTTTTTGTGATAAAATTAGGTGCCTCGGCTTATATTCGGGGTCGGCTTATACTTGAGTATATACGGTAGATACAGTCAAAGCACTCTTGACAGATGGCCATCTATCCTCTTTCTTAAAACCTCCAGAGAAGAGGGAAGGAGAGATATGTTAAATCCATCGTATGCCCTTCGTCACGCAAACTTGCAACTCTATTTTTAAAAAATGAGACATAAGGTATGTCTGGCATAACTTGCTTTTGAGAAACCCATGGTGACATTGTGAGTATGGTATTCTTTTCGAAGTGTTTACTGCTTATACAAACAA